GCTTCCTCCTCAGCAGTTTGTTTGCTCTAGTTAGCTTTGAGGTCTATGAAAGGCTCCTCTGGTTGCCTCCCACACCCATGTCCTCACCTACAGCTCAATTTCCCTGATACTTCTCTTAGAGCAGGGATTGGACCCAAGTTCCCAAGTCCCTGTCTGACGAGTTACCAGCTGTGTGAACTGGAGCGAACCACTTAATGTCTCTGAGTGCCAATGTTTTCTTCCTACAGAGGAAGCAAGTCATCTCCACCACCTACTCACAGTGCAGCTCACAGCCCAGAGGAGGCTTGTGAAAGACTGAAAACCAGTGCAGATGTAACTAGCAGCTTTGGGGAAAACGCCATCCCTCCAGGTTGACAAATTCTGTTGTTCAGAACAAAGTACTGCACAGAAATCCTCAATGTCAGTGGTTTGTAGCTTAATGTAGAGAGAACATTTCTTTATATTTCAGGTAAGAGCTTATCTATGATCCACTCCAAAACTCAGATTGTGTCCCAAAGCTGCATCCCAAACAGGGGAAAAGGCCTTCAGATTCCCTGAAGGAGCTAGCCTTTCTTTCCCCACACAGACTTCCCAGCAACAACACTGCCAAACACCTCAAAGTCCCCCTTCTTCAGACCTGTCTGCCAGAGCTGCTCCCTAAGAACGCCCTTCTCATGTGGGTCAGTAGTGACTGTTAGACAATGGATCTGAAATGAGACCCTGAAAAAGCTTCCACTAGCATTTTGCTCACCAGGTCACACAGAACATCTGCCCTTCATAGCCTACAAGGCTCTTAGACATGAACTGGGGACCTTGTAGGACTCCCTCATTTCAGACTAGTCACCTGAACTGCACTCTTCACCATCTTTTTTTTTTTTTTCTAAGAAGATTTATTTATTTATTTACTATGTATACAATGTTCTGCATATATGCTTGGAGGCCAGAAGAGGGCACCAGATCTCATTATAGATGGTTGTGAGTCACCATGTGGTTGCTGAGAATTGAACTCAGGATTTCTGGGAATGGTGGGGGGCTTTTGAAACGTCAAAGCCCACCCCAGTGACCGTCTCCTCCAGGGAGGCCACACCTCCTGATCTTTTCCAAATAGTTTCACCAACTGGGGAACAAGCATGTAAGAGCCTATGGGACCATTCTCTCATTCAAACCACCATGCCCACTTAACAGGACCTCCAATTCTAGTGCCACCACCCCTATGGTCCTAGGGACACACTGAGGTTTGTCAAGGATCCTTCAAGTGTTCATGTGTTAGTCTCCTGTTGCTGTGAAATAAATTACCTCATGACCTAAGCATATATCATATTGTTCTGAGACTCAGAAATGCAGAAATGGTTTAACTGGGTGGTTTTACTCTGCCTCTATCATGAGGTTCCAGATGTCATCCTGTTAGGAATGAATGGAACCTAACCTACTTCTGCCAATATATCATTGCCAACACCAACAAACTCAGTATCTTCCAGATTCACATGGTCTGTCAGATCAGAGTCAAATATAACTGGTAGAAAACTACTTAAGAATCAACAGATAGTTGGATGTGGTCACCCATATCCATTACCCAGTGCTCAGAAAGCTGAGACAGGAGAATCACCATGAATTTAAGGCTATCCTGGACTCCACAGGACGTTCCTTGTTAGCCTGAATTACAGAATGAAGACCCATTTCAAAAAAAACAAAACCAACCAACTAAACAAAGAAACAAACAAAAACCAATAAATGCAAGCTTTTAAAGAAGGCAAAACAAAATGGACAGAACCTACCTATCAATACTAGTATTGTTGGAAATGGAACTTAAACCCAGTTTTGTTCAGCACCTTGCTATAGCTGGTGTTCTCATATGTCACTCAGAGAATGGGTGAAGGGAAGATGACATGGGCTACTCCAACCTGCTGTTCTCTGCTGCCTACCCCAACCTAGCAGCAATGTAAAGTTTTCTAGCAAACATGTTCTCATTCTTTGTTGAAATGTATGTTTATTTTGTTTTATTATCTGGAAAGGATCTCAAGGAGTGAAATAGATTGGAGAATACAATAATAAAGTAATGAACTACAGAGATGACAGAATTTCTATTGCACTTTCTTTTATATCTTAAATTTCAAATTAAGCTAACTATGTTAATAAATGAAACATTTTGATAATAGGTTCTAATTTTAAAAAGGACAACTGGACAGACGTCCTTTGGACCCTACTACACTGTGTAGATTTTTTCTGTTTCCCACTCGTTCTTAATGAAGGTCAGTCAACACAGGCAAGGTAGGACTCTGTACTGCTCTTCATCCTAAGTCCAATACAGTAGCTGGTCAGGGACAAACTCCAACTGTAATCACCCCTTCCTCCCAAAACACCAGTCTCCTGGAAATGCTAACCCAATCCTTACTGGTTACCATTAAGTTCAATTAATTCTGACCCATTGCTTTCTTTACCTTAAAGTTTGCCACAAGGCAAGGAATAAGTCCATATTATGTTCTACTTTGATTAGATTCTGGCTTCCAGAACCTTAAACAGCATCTGTGTTAGAGGCAGGTGAGGAGGGGGGGGAAACTTTACTTGGTGCCAACACATTTGCCAACAGGTCATGTTACCATGATTGCTCAAACATAGTGAGGTGACCTCAGGCAGTGATTAGAAGACTCAGGCATGTAACTGAGATGCTGAGATGTATGCCCATTTACGGTATTTACATGAGCAAACAGCTATTCCCCAAGCCATGCTGAAGGTTATATGCACACTAAGGCCATATTAAAGTGAGAAAAATTAATTTCAGTATCCTTGAGAAGTAAGAATCACTGGCATCAAGTCTCAAGCAGTAATAGCATTAAATAGAGTAGACAAGGGATTTGCAAGGCCAGAGATTTCCAGCTTTGAGATGGATTCCAAGTCCATGCTGGTTGGGTGTGGGAGAGGGCAGCTTCCAAGGTAATTAGGATCAATTTTTGTTGACTCTTGTGGTTCACTTTTAACCAACTAGCCAGTGCAAACCAAATAATCAAGCATTAAGGTGCAAAACAAAATGAACTGGGCTAAAGAGATGGCTCAAAGGTTGAGCACTGGCTGCTCTTCCAGAGGTACTGAGTTCAATTCCCAGCAACCACATGGTAGCTTACAACCATTCACAATGAGATCTGGTGCCCTCTTCTGTCCCGCGCGATATTCTCGCCGGCAAGAATCACACAGGACATTCGGATCCTTCTGCAGGAAAGCTTTAATGCATCTTGAGAGAGGAGAGCATAAGCTTACCAGAGCGGAGACCCCGAGCCAAGAATCCCGTCCCCTAATAAAGGCTGGCAGCCCCGCCTGGGACTTGTCACCCTATGAATGGCTTCAGCTCCTCAGGCCATATGAGCCACAGGATAGGCAGAGATCAAGGAAATGGAAAATTACCCAGCGCCTGCGAAATAATTTACATTCAGTGCCTGCAGGCACCATCATTGTAATGGAGAATGCAGGGACGGCTCCCTACAGATCCCCCTTTTTTTATTAATTAATGATAAGGCTTTATATTTTTACAAGCAAATAGGTCACCCATATGTTGAGGGATAGAGGCAGAGGTTGTACCTTCCCAATCAAACATTAAGACTGTGTACAAGAGTCGCCATCAGGCTGTTAGCTTGACCCGAAGCGCTCTCGACCTGTCCTCTGCCGTTTTTCTGGGAAAGGGAGACTAGGGCAGGCAACCCTTATGCAGGACAACATGCCTCCCAGAGAAGCCTGCATACTGGGCAACTCTCTGTGCGATGCCTTGCTCAACATCCCTCATGGGCTGCTCAAACCAGACACTCTACCCTGTGCAATGAGCCTAGGCTCCGGGTGTGCAAGAGCTGTCTGGCC